GCCTTCCTTGGAGGTTTTTGCACGATTAGGCTGTGGGCTTTCTGAGGTTTCTTGAGAGGACATGTAACTAGTGCGGTTTGGTATCTGTCAGGTGGCAGGCTTTTTCACTCCTTACACTGCAACTTTCCCATAATTCTGCTAGCAGTAGATGCAGTTCATGAGTAACGTGCATCCAAGGGGGCACTCTTAAGTTTTTAAAACAAGCTTTTACACCATCTGATACTGGTAGAAAACAGTTGTTTTTTTAACAACGCTGTTATAAACAGTTGTGAGGCACATGCATGCTACAGCTTCTGCACTGAACTGAAATACCATCACCAGAATGTAAAAATGGACTGTAAAAAGAAAAAATAGGTTAGTGTAGTTTTGTTGTTGTTGTTGTCCTGCTAAATGATTACAAGAGCAGGTTGCTTAGACTTTTAACACCCTTAAAGTCTAAAGAAAGGGGAATTCATGTTTGGTATTTAAAAAAGAAAAGAGGAATACTCCGTGAAATAAAATTCTCTACTTTTTTGTATCTTTCAAATTCCGGTAGTGATACAAGATAATTGTTCTTAGAGAATGTTTCCTTTAGTAGAAGTGTAAATGAAAATTCCTGTTATACCAGGTTATCTTTCTATCACCAACATTGTGGCTTCATGGGAGGATCTTTATCAACTGAGTATTTCTTACAAATGTGCAGTATGATCTTCTCTAATACTTTTGCTTTTTGACGCTGCTTTGTTTAGGTGGGAGATCTCATTTATGGTCAGTTCCTTGTAGCAAATAAAGACATGGAACCCGAGATGGTCTGTATAGACAGCAGTGGAAGATCAAGTGGAATGGGACTAATTGGACAAGATGGCTTCCTCTTTAAAGTTTCCTTAGGTCTAATAAGAAAGTAAGTACTAACTAAAGTAAGTAGTCACTCTAACATGTAATATGGTGGTAGGATTCACACTATTTCCTCTGAGCAGTGTGGACAGTTTGGTAATCAGAATGTGTAATTGTTTTAGTGCATTTATACTAGTTTTACTGAATAGAGTATGGACAATAACCTAGAAGTAGCAGGTATTTTCCCCCTTAAGAGATTTAGATGCTCTTGTATGTGTGATGTGGTTGCCAAGGCAGTATGGAAAATAAAACCATTGACCTGGGGAAATCAAACATTCATGCCGGGGTTTCAGGTATGTACCTACGACCTTGGAGTTTAAAAATTGGACATGCTTACTGTCCTTTTTGTGAGGTAGTGGGGGATGTAAATTTGGCTGACAGCTGATTAAAGGGGTCTTTCCATATCTGACTTCCATTGAAATAAGGATACAGATAAAATTGTGTGATTTTCATTTAAAACTGACATGTTAATCCAGGAACCATTTCATAAGCTTTTAAATGTATTGTGAACTTTGGAGTTCCTTATGCTGATGTAAATACAAGATTTTTGTGGCTATCAAAGAATACCAGCTTATATGGATTAAATGATAGTCAAGTTTTGTTGCTTTTGGCTGGGGATTTTTTGTTTGTGTTTGTTGTTCTTTGGAAAAGCAATCTGGAGATGCAGAGCAGCTATTTCATACCTGCGTTTTTTAAGTAATGATTTGTCTGGTTTACATGTCCCATCAGAAGTCGGTGTGAACTGATACAAAATACTTTTGCAGCCATTCTGCTTCTTTTCCAAATTTTGTCTGTATGCAAGTAAAGAAATAACAATGTATTACAAGTAAACTGCTAAATCCTGATATGTCTGTTTCATCTTTGAGAGAGCCTGTTGAAGCTTGATTTAATCCTAGATGTATTACAATATTCTTGACACTTTTATTTTTCAGTATGCTGTCACGTAGTAAAACCAAAATATTCTATGTTTACTGCTGTTAATATTGTCTCCTGAAGGAGAAGGGAAGTTGTGTTTTGAAAGACACATCTTTAACTCTGGTGTCAAATATATAAATAGCAGCACTTTAAAAATATTACTTTGTCAAACACTGTTGTTTTAGAATTTATTAAATCATAGTATTGTTACAAAAGTATAAACTCACTTTAAATTTGTCAGGTATTCTGAATCTAATTAGAAAAAACAACTAAATTCACAAGTACTATATTTTTTTTAGGTGCATGTATTTTATATGAGAGGAGAATTAAAAATGTAATAATGTATTGCTATTTTGGATGCACATGCAGCTTGATCCTCTTACCTTTTGGTGTTGCTTTAATAGGTCCCATAACTAGTACTGCAGTTTAGTTATTGATTGATAATAATGCGGTGTCTGTCAAATGTGAGCACTTACTTCTTCCTCTGACTTTTCTTAATCTTGTTTGCAGACTCTTGGCTCCCAAATGTGAAATAATTCAGGAGTTGTCACAATTGTACCCGTTTGAGCTGGTGCTGGGAATGAATGGAAGAATATGGGTAAAAGCCAAAACAGTTCAACAGACTTTAATTATAGTAAATATTTTGGAAGCCTGTGAGTATATGACTGCAGAACAGAGAAAACAAGCGCTTGCCAAATTGTCAGGGAATTGATAAGAGAAAACTTTGAGGACTTGTTTGAGATGACTATAGGGTGTTTTTGTTATTTTTTTATTCAGATTTATATTAAAAGCCATTTTTTAAATGAAGTACTAGCCTTTTGTTGTTCTTCAGTTCCCTTCTTTATCCACTCGGCTTGTTTTGTCCTATTTAGGAACTTTGTTTTTACTCACTTGTGTGATTATGAAACCCTGTTTATGTTTATGAATTTTCTGATGTGGAGACAGTCTTTAAAAGCTTCCATTAGCTCTGAGTTTTGAGATCTAACTAAGTCTTCTGTAAGAAAACTGGTCAATTTGTAAACTGCATATATTTGCTTTTTTAGTGAATATTAAAACTTCAAACAATACATTTTTACTTGGGGTAGCAGAAAGTATCCTACAGGTCATTCATTCTGGTCAGGTGCTCTATTTATACCGTAACAAGAAGTGATTATTTAATATTTTACAAAATATGTGGATAGAAATGCAGGTGGAGAATACCAGAAAAAAATTACAAGGTGCAGCATAAAATAGTCATAAGGTGGTTAAGGCCAATGATCAGATAAGACCCAACATAATGGTCACAGTGACCTTACCTCTCTTGCCTAAAAGATAACCTGGCTAGTAGTCTTAAGGAAGTGGTGATTAGGATGTAACTTCAGTATGATCATTCAGGAGGCTTGATGGCTCACTGGAGATAAAAAAATATACTTAACAGCAATGCTATTTAAAGTCACTTGCAACTTTTTCATAAGTGCTTTTTAATTAGAGATTAGGTAAAGCAGCAATAGCCACGTATTTCTCAATTCTAGACATTTTAGATTTGTTTAGTTACAGCATGAAGATTCTATACGGCTTTGCTTCATGTTTAACAAAGTCAGCATTTCTGAAAAAAGCTGTATTAGGCTTCATTGTGTAGTAGTTCCTCACATGCATATAGAGGAAATGCTATCCTAGAAAGGATAAGCTGTCAGTCTGTTTTAGTATGTGAATAGTTTGCTACTGTTCCTTTAAGAGAGAAAGAGAACCCTGGAGTAATGGAAGGGGAATTACTGACGCCTGCTTCCTGTGGGAGAAAAGTTTGACTGTATGTACCCAATGAACTGCATTGGAGCTGTTTAAGCAGTTATTTAGATCTGTGATGTTTTGTGGTTCTTAATAAGCTTGATAGCAATAGTTAAATTAGAAAAAATGGAGTAATTAGAGTATGCCTGAATACCATCTTAATTCCAAGTGGAAACAAAATTCTTCCTATTTATTCTGTATTTCATCCAAAGTTCAGCCTGTGGTATTTGATATGGTTTTCTTTGGCATCTCTCTCATTTAGAAATTGCTTCAGTTCAGAGCCACTCCTCTGACTCATCTTTAATATGCTTACCTAGGGCTTCCCCTGATTTCAATAAAAACACAACTCTAATGGTTTCCATATGGATCTAATGGCTACAATTCAGAATTCTTTCTGGGTTTCACTGGCCTCCCTATTTAACATTCTAGGGTATTGCTTATCTGGCTTGGTGCATCTTGAGTCATCTTTTTTCACCTGTCTTCTCCCAGCTGAAGTGACTTCCATTCACATCCCATAAATCTTATCTCTTACTACATGTCAAAGGCTGTAATTTAATAAGGATTTCACTAACTCTGCTCTTCTCCAGTGTTTTTCAACTTTAGCTAACTAGAGCCCCTGCAGGTTGTCTGTTATTATAACAATAGCTGGCATAAGCAGAAAAGCACTTGCCAAATCATCTCGGGGTGCTAACTTTGTTTCCTGTGAATGTTCTTGGATCATAATAGTAAAACCACAGGAATGGGGAATGACATGGATCATTTCCTGAAGAGTTGTGGCTTGAAATGCAATTAGCCTTACCACTCCCCCTTTTACCTGTCTAAGCAACCTCCCTTCCCTCCCAAAAGGCTGAGTTTTAAGCCTAACCTGCAAGATACATGAACAATCCCTGATTTAAAAACACTGTTTTGGTGGTGCAGCATAGCAAATGGTGACCTTGAAAGTTTTCAGTATCATCAGTGCCCTATTTCACACCACCCATTATTCTGTCCCACTGTCAACTGCTTATCACCCAAATATAACCTTAGCTGAATGAAGAGCAGGAAACAAAATACATTAAAATTATGCTTGGTTTTAGTTTAACAAAATGGTATATCCACAATGTTCTTGAGTTTTACCCCCTACACAATCATTTTAAGTATGTACTACACTTAAGTTTGTTTGACAATTTATGCAGTGGCAAAAATGACTGGATGTGAGCAAAATGGGTGTGGGGAAAAAATGCTTGAAAGCAAATACATTTAAACACATTACTAAAAGAAGGCAATATTGGTGTGTGGATTTTTTTTAGTTGGAGAAAAGAAAACTACATTCCTTAAACCAATTACTAGCTTTGACAAGCTAGTAATGAACAAAATATTCAGGCAAAATCTATATGATATCTTTGTGAACTTTCAGTTCGGCTCGGTGACTAAACCAGTATCACCAAAAAGAGTGACATAGAATATAACTTGTTTCCAGGAAGAAAGACTGATCATGAGTTAATTATGTATTCTGCTGAAAATACACAGTCCTTCACATTCCCAGTAAAGGCACATAAACACCTATGTTTCAGGAAATGGAATTTGCAGAAGTGATACTGTGGACTTGAAATGTACCTTGCTTAGTAGAATGTCTTTCTGTTGTGTTTATATGCATGATAATTTAAGTCATTATTTAGAGTCAGTCATTTCAAATACGGGGTGATTGTGCATTGGGTGCTTTGTTATATTGCTTTTCTTTCAAGTTGTTGTGATGAAAGTTAAGAAGTAAAGATTGTAGCTGTCAACGTGGGCACAGGCCTTATCCCTAGAGATTAGCACAATCCCTTAAAAAGAAAGTTCACGAAGAATTAAATGGAAACCATACATTGAAAATGTGAAATATGTAGTTTGTGACCTTCCTAGATTGATGTGTTGTATAAAGACCAAGAATAAATGCTTACAGAAAGTACAGATACGCAGTGTTGAAACTAAGTGTGATAGTAGAACACTTGTATTTTGCTCTAGCAGAAGAAAGTAGCACAGACAAATAGTTCAGTGTAATAAGAGGATTAAGAGCCTAACTCTAAGGCTATGGTTAGAGTGTGGCTGTAGCTCTGCTACATTAGAGGTTTACTGTGCCCAACTACTCATTACCACCTTACCACCAGAAGTTGCAGCTGAGGTTTGCTGGCATGTGTGTTTGATTCCTAGCCAAGTTCTGTCAAAATGGCCCAGATTGGCATCAACGCTTTTAATAGCAGGGTTACTTTGTTTTTCTAACCCAGATGTTCTTTTAGCAGAAGAGGTCATGGAATTTTTCTCTCAGATGTTAATTAAGAGCAGCTCATCTACTACTGGAGAAGTGTAAATTTGTTAGAGCAAGCATGGTTCTTTTCCTTAGTGCTTGAACAAATAATTCTGAGTAACAGCTAAATCAACCAGTAAATCAACAAGTTATTTTAAACCTTACAAACTGGTCACCTCCAAGCTTTACATACTTACATAAAAAAATATTTACACCAATTTTTCTAGCTACATACAACCAACTTGGTGAGAGACATTGTTTGACTGAGTATAGAAACTAGCTGTCTTAAGGACAATGTAGGACACTGTTTAGTTCTGTTGGTAACACAAGCAGCCTTGTCCTTACTAATGACTTGTATAGATTGCAAGATGCATAACTACTATTGAAGTCTACTGTAAGGAATTAAACATGTCAGTTTTGCCCTATCAACTTGAAAGAGAAATAGTCTAGAAACATGTTGGGTGCCTGGACTTCAATAGAAACTATGTGGTTGTTGTGGGTGGTTAACCAGGACTGCTGCAGAATGACTGTTTTCCTCTGATGTCCTGATCTCATAGAAGTGCAGTTACTGCCTTTTCGGTGCTATCAGTATGGGTATTTTGGGATGTTCAAGAGCCTGTTTTTGCTTATAGAGCCTGAAGCTTGATCACTATTCTAGTGGCTTGAATAGTTATTAAAAATAACTCTTTATTAGGCCTCAGTGTCCTACCTAGTATGAGAAAAACTAAAAAATTGGAGTAGAATAACAGTATAGGCAGCACTGCAGTGAATGGGACGAAGAAAAACTATAGGCCATAGAGATTCAATTTTGCTTTAATTACCTGACGTAAAAATATTAAAGTCTGAAGGACAGACAGGAGGACTAATGTTCCAAAGGTTATCTATTGCATTGTTGTAAATGGTAGGTTTTTCTGTGATTCAGTGTTTATTAGGCCATTGCCAAAAGAGATTTGTATAAGCTTCTGTATACCCATTAAAAAGACTTACTAATTCTTTCTTCCTGTGCTTGTCCAGATGGAGGGTGTTGCACCAATCTCTTCTTGGTGTTCCACTGTGAACTGCTTATGCGGGTGAAACTGATTTCAAAAGACTTGTAGGTCCTTTGGTTTCTTCAGTGACTACTGTGCCCTGATCTTACTTAAGATAAATCTAAGATCCTGTGTCCAGGCTGTCTGTGGACAGACTGGTGCTTTTATTTCCTGGGAATCAGGATGAGGTTGAAAACACCACTACGTGAATACATACTACTGTACAGCCTCCAAACAAGAGATGGCTTTTGCCTGGTCTAGCTAAAAGCCATGTCAGTTTGCATCTGTGTGGATATGCCTTTAGAAGCACATGGGTAAAAAGTTCAAGCTGTATTTTTGTATATCTGCATCCAATCTTATTAGCTCAATATTGAAAATCTTGATTAGTCTGGAAATCCTTCTACAGACATAGGGCCTAGATCCAGCGTTAGCCCACCACTGTCTGTTTCCTCGTTGCTTTTGAGATCTCCTGTTTCCTGATAGAAAAGACAGTTTGTTTAATATAAGCCATTTGTCTAACAACGCCCTTGGTCTAAAGCTGATCTATAGAAGCATGATCCAACAAGAAATAGAAATAATTAACTTCTGAAATAACACACAGCTTTGTCATTCTGTACATGAATTGAAAGTTTCGTAATGCTAGATCATGTTTTAGCATAGATACTGATACAGTGCATGCTGGGTGACTTATGCACAGGCATGCTAGGGAAATTTAATTAACTGATATATAAGCGGTTTGCAGACTAA